CACAATATTAGCAGTATGTAGAACGATGTCATGGATGCAGCAGAAATCGGAGCGGCGACACAGCGGTGACGCAGTGTGCAGCGTTGCAGATTTTGCAATAGGTACGGGTCGGTGTAAAGTGTGTCGCGGTCTTGTACTCGTGTGATTATGAACTCGGTGCCGGGCAATGACCCCTCGGGCACAGTGGAGTTCGATGACACGTTTTCTGCGATGTCCGGAGTCGGCGGCGGCCTCAGGGAGCGTCAGAGAGACGGCGGAGACAGCAGGTGGCCAACTTAGTTCAGGAACTGGTTAAGGCCAGGTTGTGTTTCGAGCAGGTCGTCGTCAGGAGTAGGCGACCAGAGGGACTTCAAAAATTCCACTTCTGACACCAAATGTTAGATTGGACAGTCCGGCACTTTAAAAAAAAAACCACCACTGACTATCACAATTATTTATTTTATAACTCTACACAACTTTTGGCAACTTAATATAGACACAAACTTATACAACACCACTTAACACGGATTATACACGTTTTTATTGGCCCCAGCGAAGGGCAGAATAGACCCGGAGTATATTATTGCTCTAGAATTCCTTGCTGAAAATCAACCAAGGTTGGGGAGTAGTCAGAGACCACAAATTATATCAGCACTAGAGAATAATAACTGACTAATTTAAGAAAAGGATTGGTATTTATAGTGTATTTATTGCTGATCTGCAATGTTAAATTTACGTCATTTTGCTATTATTGCAAGTCAGCAATATTGTATTGCATTCCTATGCAATATCATCAAAATTAGGGATGTAACAGTACGTATGACCCTTTACAGTAATTGAAAATTCTTTACATTTATGATAAGGGGCATGTATGATCATGCACTTCGTTTTTTTCATATTTATTATGATGCCATTATCATGGGCCCATTGTACCAAACTATTAAAACCATTTTGCATGGCTTCTTGTGTCATCGGCATACATGAATGCCTTGCATTTTTTAAGTACATTAGACATGCTATTGACGTGTATTATACCATTGACGTGTATTATTATTCATTGGACCTCTTATGCCACATTCGTACATGGCTTGCAACAAGCCGTCATGATCCAGAGTATCGAATGCCTTTTTAAATCTATGTATATAACCATAACTATTTTCCTTTCATTTAGACTCCTATTGACTTCATCTGTAAATTTTTCTAACGCAGTGCTAGTACTTCTATTCAATCTAAAGCCGTGTTGAACATCGTTTAATATATTGTTATTCTCTAAGATAGTAGTAATCTGTTTAACTATAATTTTGTCGACTATTTTGTTGATTGTATTAAGAATTGCAATAGGTCTATAATTACTAGTCTTGATGAGATCCCGCTTTATATATTGGGCGGACAATCGGTTTCTTTAGCTCCTCCGGATACTCTGACTTTTCAACACAACTGTTAATAAAATAAGCTATTACTGGACTAATTTGGTCCTTAATTTGTTTTAAATCTCGCATTCTGATCCCATCTGATCCCGGCGACTTGTTGCAGTGCAGTTTTTCTATAACAACTTTCACATCTTTTGGTTGTATTTTTTGAAATCTGATACTAACATTGGAATCCTGAACATAGCTTTTTCTATCTAAAATTTTTTGTTGACATTTATGTTTTATACTATCTATTTCTGACGTAAAAGTTTCACAAAATTTATAACAAATAGTTTCCAAATTTTCATGTTTTAACATGTGTTTTTCTATTACCCAATCTACCCCTGTTTTAGTCCTCCCAAGCCAATTATTTACATTACACCATATTTTTCTCAAGTCTCCCATACATCCAGTAATTGTTTCACATCTGCTTTTATTTTTTGGCCATATTTATAAGCTTCTGTGTCTTGTTTCTAAGCCGTGTGGTTCTCGGCGGAGTAGAATAAGACCAACCCATCTCTTCCCATGGGTGTCGTAAAAGGCGACTGAGGGAATCTTTGGACTGTTTATCATCAGACAGTATATATACAGTTCGTGCGGTACTTGTCCTGGTGGCCTCTCCAACCGATGGATATTGGTACATACCGCAGTCTAAGTCCTGTCTCCCATCCTAGTACTGCGGTATTCCCCCACCCTAATTTTCCTCTCTCACCCAATCCTCTCACCCCCGATGTTTCCTTTTTTCCTTTCCCTATCATATAAACGACTACATTCCCAAGGAGGGATGGCGACAGGCAGGCGGCCGGCCATAAAATTAATTAGCCAAAACCACTATAATGCAGTATAAGTATGATACAAATTGAGTACTCAGCAGGTCTGATAATAGTTTATAAAACTATTATCAGACCTGCCGTCCTGTATGGTTCTGAAAGTTGGCCCGTTAAGAAAACGGATGAGAGACGCCTGAACATAGCCGAAATGCGAATGCTGAGATGGATGTGTGGTGTGACTCATATGGACAAGGTTAGGAATGAGTATATACGAGGGAGTCTGAAAGTAGCGCCACTGGATGAAAAGTTAAGAAGTAATAGGTTATCTTGGTATGGACATGTCATGTGGAGGGATGAGGAAAATGTGGCGAAGAAAGTTTTAGGTATGGGAGTTGAAGGGTCTTCTCTTGTAGAAGAGGCAGACCGAAGAAAAGGTGGATGGACTGCGTGAGGGAGGATATGGCTAGGAAGGGAGTAAACAGTGAGATGACGCATGACAGAGTAGAATGGAAAAATCATACATACTGCGCCGACCCCAAATAAAATTGCGAAAAGGGTAGGCAGATGATGATGATGATGATGATGATCTGTGTCTTGTTTCTGAATCTAGTATACTGTAATCGTTTATTATTATTTTTAGGATCGTTTTTCCACTGCTTGAATAACCTATCTTTTTCAACTATGAGAAAGCGTAGCTCATTAGTAACCCACGATTGTGTTTCGCGTTTACAGTAAATTGATTTTTCTTTTTTAGAAGTGTTATAGATATACTAACTTTTAAACTTTCGCGTTCCATGATAATTAATATTATTTAACGGGAATTAACGCGATCTCTTATTTAGGGTATTACATACCTCTGGTTTGCCTGACGTTTCGACCAGGTTGCACCGGCCGTGGTCACAGGCTGACTGGATATAGATATCATAAAAAATTGCAACAACAATTACCAATCGGTACTATTAAGCTTCTCTCTTATTGCCTTATTATCGTATCTAGTTTTACTAACACTCTCAGCATTTATTTGTTTATCTATTGCAACTGATATACCTGTTACGTAATGGTCGGCTATGCGGGTCGCGAGTGTATACGCTTGGACATCGCGCGCCCCGCCACTTGCATTCCACATGAAGACGTGATCGATGCATGATGCCACTCGCCGCTGCCCGACAACCGCTTCGCGTGTTATATATTGGATGCCGCATTGAAGTCCTAAGTTTGCTAGTGAATTTAGATATCTGTTTGTTGATAAGTTCAGTTCGTTCTCGTATAAATTAATGTTACAGTCGCCTACCAGTATAAAGTCAGTGCTCGTAGGTAACGTTTCGACATCACTTTCAAAGCGTATCTGATGTATCTTCTTTTCGTGATCATCTTTTTAATTAATATTTTGGAATTCTGTATCCATATATATTTATAAGTACTCTTTAATTTAGTCCTTGTGGCCCAAAATAATTGTTTAATTTGGCGTGTGATATGTTCGTTTACAAATCACTATTTTTGTATATCATGTTATTGGTAAGTGGAGATTTTCGGCATTTAAGCCATTCTGCCCTCGCAGCTTTCGTACGCAGCGTTACAATCACAGGTCGGACAGCTTTTTTATCCGAACCTACCCTCCACGCATTTTCGATCTCTGATTTATCTAATTTTAAGACTTCGGCGCATTTTTTGACCACTTCTATTATCTTTTCGCCTTCTTGCATTGTTAAATTCATTAGTTCAATATTTTTATCCAATTCCTTTTGTTCCAAGTATCCTAATCTTTCTTCTAGTGCTTTATTGCATTTTTCTAGGTTTATATTTCGTTGTATCAAATCTTTGTATCTATTTTCCATTTTCTTATTAGTTTCTGTAGTTTCTTTTTTAAATATTTCCATTTCATCGTACTAGGATGCAAGGTAAGTTAAGGTCTTCTCAAAATCAGTATGATTTTTTTTCAACTCACCCACTTGTGACTTAATGTCCGACACATCCTTTTGAAGCAATAAAAAGCGTGAATCTTGTTCATCTTTCATCGATTTAAGAAGAGTATTCATTGCGTTGACTTCTTTTTGAACAGCTTTCATTGTTAGCAGGGCATTGTCAGGGGAGCAACAGGCAGCTTTGTGCCGTCTCGGTTCTTGCGAAATTGATGAATCACTGTCTGATTCCTCATTCCGTTTCTTCTTACCCTGTCGTGTTCCAACCCATTTAGTTATGGGTGTTTGCCTTCCTTTGGCATCCGAAACAGATCTGTCCGAAGAAGGGACTTCTGCCTCTGCAGTTTTAGTAGGAGTCCGAGAAATCTTAGGCATTGACACTTCTGAACTCTCGTAACACACAAAACAGTAATATTTTATTTGATTGATATGCACAAACGATACGTCCGTTCGTTAGCACGATCAACGAGAACTCTTAATGGTATCTTCCCAAACCTGCTGAGATGGTGATACTATTGGAACACCTTGTTAAAATTTGCAGAGGCTGCCTACCGCACCATTACATCTTGAAATGGAGAGAAGTTAGAGTAGTCTTCATCCCCAAACCTGGTAAAGGTGACTACACATAACCCAAATCACACCGACCTATCAGTTTCACGTCCATAGATAATGAAATTAAGAGCACTGCATTAGTCAGTCACCCCTTATATCGCAACTAACACGCATACTCGATGGGAAAACCAACAGAATCTGCTCTACATCGAGTTGTATCACATATAGAAGGCAATCTAAAACACAAATAACAATAGACCAATAGACCTACGTAACGAAGTCAGGAAGAATTACAACGTATCCGGTAAAGTATCAAGACCTTGAGTGATGCACAATTGGGCCACCTCATCAACTCCATTACTACAGTATCCATGCGCATGGGATCGATGGCCAGTTGCACACATATATTCGATGGATCCCATGGCCAAGAAGACCTGGAAACATTTATTTCAGCAGTAAGCACATTTAAAACTGTTGAAAAAATCGAAGATAGCGAGGCTTTGATAGGCATTCCACTTGTTCTGCATGGAGAAGCGGCTATTTGGTGGTTGGGTGTCAAGGACAGTATCACGACTTGGGCAGAATTCGTGCACCGACTGCGCAATGCTTTTGCACCGAAGAAACCGGCGTATGTGTTGTATAGGGAGCTAATGGGTGAAGAGCAACCCCCGGATTTAGCTACGGAGCGTTTCGTAGCAAAGAAAAGGATGCTATTTTCTATGCTGCCTCCACCGAAACCTACGGAAACACAGCAAATAGACATGATTTTTGACCTTTTATATATAAACATAAGGTCACATATCACACGTAGTACCATAAATACGTTCGGCCATTTGTTGGAAGTTGCTCGGGGTATGGAAGATGCCTTGCGAGAAAAGTGCTCGAACCAAAAGCAAGACACCAGTCAGCCACAACAAAACTAGAAGTTGCGATGCACGTTTTGTAGATTACCCGGGCATGCATTCAATGAGTGCCGAAAAAGGATGAAGCAGGAAATACTTTCCACAGCGGCCACACCCGGAAAAGCACTTGTTAAGGCTGTAGTAAAAAAGGAGGTTGATACACATGTGCCGTCGCCCTCGCAGCCAAAGTTCTCCTGCTGCGGCTGTGGTGCTCCAGGAGTGATTAAGGCCAATTGCACAACTTGCTCTGGACGCTGTCGCTCGCAAGTTGCACCAAACGACTTAGGCTTTTGTGCCGTTGATATACAAGCGGATATGAAACAGAGACCGGTTGTGTTCATCAACATACTCGGTATAGAAGGTTGTGCTAACCTGGACACGAGTGCTAAGCTGAGTGTTGCTTCATACGGACTCTTTTGCAAGCTGCGAGATCTGGGATTGAAATTTGGTGAAGAAACTGCCAATGTTACGCTTGCTGATGGTATCAGGAAAAGTCAGAAGGTGTATACTATAAAAGTACTACGTCTTTCGTCGTACTACTTGAATCGAGAGACAATAGAACATTACTTGGAATCGGTTTCATACAGGATGCAGGCATGATCATCAACTTACCTCAGTTCACAATGTCATTCATTGAGAGTCCAGATATAGCAAGTGAGCTGTACGAAGAAGGATTTACCACATTTATACCCAAATAGGAAACTGTCGCTATGAGTGAAATATTCAACAGTGTCAAAGTACCCTCTCCGATATCCTCTTTGACAGATACACCACCAAGCTCACCAACAGCCCACGATGAAGCTTCTGTAAAAGCACTATCAGTGTCAGAAGAACCTACAGCTAGCAAGAAAGCGTTTCAGCAGACTAACTCATATAGGCTGGAGAAAATAGATATGCCAATAACGTCACCATCTAAACGACCTAAGCTGTTCGATGGCTATTCACCAGTTCTGGACCAACTTTGGCGCGACTCTGAAATTGCTATCAACGAAGCAAGTGTTACTCTATCCCCTCACTCTCATAGTCTCTTTGACGGAAACTTGGAGTAGACATTGAATATTGACGCATTTGACATTTGCAGCGACAGTATTACCTCAGGCCAAGAGAGTGACCTCCAAGAACTTCTGTTTGAGTTTGCTGATCTATTCCAGTCAAACGGCAAACCTGTGAATTATGTCCAACACAGTATTAGCACTGGTAATCACGAGCCGATTGCTGTGCCACCGTACAGACTTTCACCTACACGTAAAGAAATACTCAGGCAAGAAATGGAAAGGATGATAGAAGAAGGAGTTATAGAAAGCTGTGTTTCACCATGGGCAGCACCAGTAGTGATGGTACCCAAGAAGAATGGTGAGATAAGATTGTGTGTGGATTATAGAAGGCTAAATGCAATCACCATTCCTGATACATACCCTATGCCACGTATGGATGATCTTCTGCAAGAGGCAAAACCGACACCATTCATGACCTCTTTAGATCTGAAGGCTGGCTACTGGCAAGTGAGCATTAGAGAAGAAGACCAAGAGAAAACCGCATTTATCTGCCCATTCGGTACATTTAAGTTTAAACGCATGCCGTTTGGTTTGCGGAATGCACCCGCAACATTCCAGCGGTTAATCGACGGATTTCGTACTGGAGTGGACGGTGTTAAGATGTTAGCTTACCTGGATGACCTCATCGTCCTCTCCACCTCCTTTATGAGCCACCTTACTGATCTGAGAGAAGTGTTCAGGCAGATGAGAGTATATAACCTGACCGTCAACAAGAAGAAATGTAACTTTTTCGTTGCAAGGATAAAGTACTTGGGTCACTATATTACTCCTGAAGGATTACATGTTGTCCCCGAGAAAGTGGCTGCCATCATGCAACTGCCTTCTCCAGCAAATTTGAAGCACTTGGTGACATTTTTGCAAACCTGCTCATGGTACAGGAGATTTATAGAGAATTTTTCCCTGGTCGCGGAGCCTCTCACTAGGTTGACAAAGAAAAAGGTAGTGTGGAGGTGGGAAAAGAAACAAACTGAGGCGTATGAGATCTTAAAACAAAAATTAACTTCTGCCCCAGTACTTCACCAAACCCTATATAATAAAGACCGATGCAAGCAACTATGCAATCGGTGCCGTTTTGGTCCAGGGTGAGGGTCCAGAAGAACACCCCGTAGAATACGCCAGTCAACTACTTACTTCGTCTGAGAAAAATTACTCAACCACTGAACGCAAATCACTTGCAGCAGTTTGGACATTAAACAAATTCCGTGGCTACGTGAAAGGAGTACCCGTGACCGTGGTTACCGATCACCAACCACTAAAATGGTTAATGAGTATCAAGACGCCTACGGGAAGGTTAGCACGATGGGCGTTACTATTGCAAGCCTACGATGTCTCTATTGCATACTCACATGGAAAAACGAATGTGGTAGCCGACACACTTTCACGTCCTCCATATACTAAAGAGCTCGAAAAGGATTGCGGGATTTGCTCAGTTACTATAAATATACCAACACGTAATCCCAGAGAAATCAGAGAAGAACAACTGAAGGATGAGTATATTCGGAAGATAGTAACGGTTCTAGAAGATGTAAATAATCATGAAGATGCTGCTTATTGGAGCAACAAGGGATACATAATGAACAATGGGCTTCTTTATCGTTACAACCCTAATGCTGATTCAGATGAAGCTCAGCTAATCGCTCCTGAGCACGTATGATCCAATATATTGTCTGCATACCACGACAATCCTATGGCAGGACACTATGGAGCAGAAAAAACATTTCAAAGAATTTCGCAGCGCTACTGTTGGAAGGGGATGCAAAAATATATAGAAGGTTACGTGAGAAATTGCATTGCGTGTCAGCGATATAAACCTTCCAACATGAAACCGGCTGGATTGCTGCAAACTTTTGCAATGAACAAAAGATTTGAGGTTATATCCTTTGACCTATTTGGACCGTTGCCACTATCACACGACGGAAAGTCTTGGATATTGATAGTTGAAGACTTAGCAACAAGATTGATAGAACTATTAGCTCTAGAAAAGGCTACCGCTGAAGTCTGTGCAAGAACGTTGACAGATGAGGTATTTTTGCGATACGGCGTGCCTCGAAAAATGATTATTGATAATGGGCCTCAATTTGTGAGTTCGGTAATGCAAAAGGTAGCATTTTGTCTGGATATAAAACATGCATTCACCCCAGTGTACCATCCTGAAACCAATCCAGTCGAAAGAAGGAATAGAGATTTGAAGACTCAGCTCGCCATTCTGGTAGAAGGAGAACACACCGGGTTGTCAACTAAGACGCCGGCGATACGTTTTGCGATAAATACTTCGGTATGCTCGTCGACTAGTTACACACCTGCTTACCTGACTTTTGGAAGGGAGTTGAAGACTTCTGACGACGCGTTACATGATTTAAGAGCCATAGTATCAAGTGAGAACTTTATCGCAGAGATTACTCCTAAGTTGTTGCAGCTTGCTGAAGTCTTGGAAAGAGCTAAGGAAGTACAAGAGATGAAAGAAGAAGCGCGGAAAATATGGGTAGACAAGACTAGAAGACAAGGTACAAAGTACTCACCTGGAGATTTAGTTCTCGTTCAAGTCCATGCAATTAGCAGAGCGACTCAGGGGGTGAGCGCTAAATTTGCTCCCCGCAGAGACGGACCATATGTCATTACTAAACAGCATGGTCCATCCTCATATCAATTGGCACTCCCCGAGACTCCTCAGACTATCATTGGACTCTATCATTCCTCTGCACTTGTGCCTTGCCAGGGTAATGTAGCTGATTTACCCAAGCCCACACAACCAATTAGAAAGAGAGGTCGACCTAGGAAAAACCCACGATTATAGCGTTGCTGCACCAGACCGTCTCCTCGTCGGGACGTCATCGGATCCGCCGCCCATTATATAAGCCACCGACCCGACCTGCCCTGGCAGTGCTGTTGCGTACGGCGACGCTTCCACAACTAAGGGGAACTAGCCGGACCAGTAGCTACTTTAGGGCTCACGCATGCGTACAGAGGCGCTTCGTATTCACGTACACCTTCCGGACCGTGCATTAGTACAATACATTCCAGAATAAAAAGTCTGTAGAATACCTCAGTGTTGTTATTTTACAGATATTATTTTACTAATGACATTAATATATACCTATATAGGAATTTTATTTTCCTTATTTAACTGTGTATTCATTGTGAATAAGCGTAAATGGAAATGCAGTGTATGTCGAAGCCCAATGTACCTAATAGCTATTTACTTTTAATTCATCCCTATTTTATATTTCCAAGAAATAAACAAAGTGGCTAACTCAGATACCAATAATCTCTTAACACTTAAAACACAGCTTTAATAGTTAAACCTCGGTTTTACGAAGCCACTGATACTTTTTTTGAGTTTTACTAATTCCTATGGAATTTGCACAAGTTGGTTCATTGCAACAAATAACAATAACCTTCTAAAAATACAATTTATGAAAGATTGAGATAGCTGTGTTGTGAAAATATTAGTTATAATACTTTTTAAAATTTAAATGTCACTGTGAACTTAAAATAAAATATACCATTAAAGGCCAAGACATTTATATTGACATATATTAAATTAATACATACAATCTTAGAAATAGCAGAATAAATGCAGTATAAAATTACAAAAGAACATCATACAAAATTTACCTTAAAAACTAAAATCTTAACACAAGCTATTAGAATTTAACCTATATTCCTGCTCGCCCACAACTGCCAAACTAACGCAGCTCTCTTTTCTATTCCACGTCTCAGTTCAGCAGCTGATGCACTGCTGGATGATTCCTGAGGAAGAAATTGTGAAAAACTATGAATATATTCTTCTGTATTATCCTCAAGATTATTACCTACCCTATTGATGCACATGTTGTGCAAAACGCAACATGCATTTATGATTTGGGCTGCCATATTCGGATTATAATGAAGCACCCTATGGCCTAATAAGCACCGCCATCTGTTTCTTAATACACGATTTGTGCGTTCCACTGTATTACGGGCCGAGCAGTGCAACTTTGTGTAATATTCTTCTGGCGAGCCCACAGCAGCATCTAATATTGGTGTCATCATATACTCCCTTTGTGCATATCCAGAATCACCTTAAAATGTTATTCATTACATATTTTTACAAACTAAGAATGCATCATATTTGACTTATATAATAACCTATAATAATACTAACCTAGTAAAAAAACATCTTCATTATTACTATTTAAATCAATTAAATGTTGTTTCACAGGACTTTGATTCCACACAAAAGTATTATGAGATGCTCCTCCAATGGATGCATCAACTGACAGTATTTTTAAATCTGCATCACATATCTGTGAATATAAATAAAAAGATAGAACTAAATTTTGCTCTAAATGGTTACAATCATAACATTTCTAGAGTGGAAATGTTTGCGATTAAAAAATCTTTCCTCATGTTCCCTAATTATTATTATTTTTTATTTTTTTTTTTAAAAAGACAACTCCCGCATTAGGAATATATCCTGTGTCGCGGGGGACTTTACAAACATACATGAAACGGACACAAAGAACACCCAGACTCAGAACAACAATTTGTGGATCACACAAAGTGTCGTCCCATGTGGGGTTTGAACCCACAACACTCGGCACAGTAGGAAGCGGCGTGGCGACCACTTAAACCACTACGCCATCCGTGCAGTTGGTTTAATTATGGCCACATGAGTGCCATCAATACATCCTAATACTGATGGGATCCGGTATTTTTCATAAAACCTGAAACAAAGTATTGTTTAATATTATTATAGTAAAGCTATCACATACAAATTCAAAATAATTTTATTATAGTTATAAGCCTAATACATACAATAGACACTTAGGGAGTACTACACTACATTAAATGCTTAAAGCTAAGGTGTCTCAACTAAAATTACTTCCATATACTACGAGTATATTATAGGCTACTTTTAGCAATATTATACAGTATTCTAGATAATTTTTAACTTTTACAGCACCTTGTTTTAATAGCATCTCTTTCTTGGCGGGTTTGAGGAAACCTAATCCATTGTTTTTGAACGTAATAGTGATTGAGAGCTGCTGTAACCTCTTTGATGGCACGAGATACAGATTGCTGCGACATCAGAGTGCCATATGTGCCCCCAACCAGCCTTTGGTAACTTCCAGTCGCAAAAAACGATAGTGCCGCTAGAATCTACAATTTGGATGATAATATTAAGCTAATCTTCTCACAAAAAAATAAGTATGTACACCTTACAAGTTGTAATGTTAACATACCTTATATTTCGGTGATATATCACTTCTTCTCTTAGGAGTTGGCATAAAAGGCAACAAAGATTTGCTCACTCGGCAAAGCTAATTAAGCTTTAAATTCTTCCTCACTCATAGAGAACGCCTTCTTCGTATATAGCATCATTCGACGCTCATTTCGTCTCAGTTTTAACTCATTTTTTTAGATTTACGTAAAATATTGTACATTACTACTAAACGAGTCATATTATCCATTTATAGTTCAGTTAAAACCACATGAAACATGAAACAATTTCAAAAAAGTTACACTTCGGCTATTGAGTAAATCCCAATCGCCAAACGATACGAACTCAATTTATCGCTGTCAAACAAGCTGTCAAAAAATTCAAGAGTACCGTTTGCGTGCGACTCAGGCGATTGGTAATTTCGATTTCAGTTAGTTCTCCAAATCGTCACCCAATTTGATTTCAATATGGCGCTAGTGTCGAATTCAAGAGTACGAAACTTCACAATTCCAATGTCGAATTTAAGAGTAAGGCCCAAGGTGAGTTGCGACTAAATCGATAACCGGAAATCCCAACTCCGCCAGGTCATCATAGGGGAGTGGAGGGATCTAGGGTATACCTGGTTCCCCGGCTATTAGTACCCGGGACGGCGTGCGGTTTTAGTCGGTTCGAGTCCGACATGCCACCGACAGGTGGTATCCGAGGGGATTTCCGCACGGAAAAAAAAAAGGGGAGTGGAGGGAACGACTCGGGCAACAGAGCGCCGGGCACGCCGTCATCGCGGCGGTAAGACCCGTTATGGAGGATTGGCTCGAGAGGCGACACGGGACCCTCTCATACCGACTGACGCAGGTGATCACTGGGAAAGGATGTTTTGGGGATCACCTGTGTCTGATCCGCAAGGAGCCAACGCCTGAGTGCCACCACTGCGATGGCCAGACCGTGGACACGGCTCTCCACACGTTGGCAGAGTGCCCGGCGTGGGTTGAGCAGAGGCGAGACCTCGTGGCAGCCATCGGAGTGGGAGTTCTCTCGCTCGATAGCCTGATTGCGGCTATCGTGCGGAGCGAGAGTGCGTGGAACTCTGCCGTCTGAAGGAGACGGCGGAGCGGGACCGGGAGAGGTTTAGAACTTTCCCGGCCCGCCAGGCCCGGGAACGGGCCAGGTACCGCAGGCGACTCAGGCGCCGGAGATCGCAGAACGACCTCCGTCCTCCATAAGCGCAGGCCTGGGGGTGACAGGTGAGGCCATCTGTCACCCTAGCAGAAGCAGGCCGGGGTGGCGGCGTCGGTTCGAGTCCGGTTGGAGTCCGATATGCCACCGATATGGTGGTATCCGAGGGGATTTCCGCACGGAAAAAAAAAAAAAAAAGGCACCGATGGATTTAGTAAACATTGTCTTCGGAGTCGTGGTATACTTTGCGCTGTGCACCATTTAGGCTTTCACCACTACGAATGTAACAACGCATCATTTCGTAATACTCGCGATTAGATAACATTGTTTATAAACGATAAATGATATTTATTTCTGTAAGTAAATCTTTTCAGATATTTTTTAAAATCGGACTTTACAGCTAGAAGGAGCCGGCATTTCCTAAGACTCACTCTGGGAAGAAACGCCGAAACAAACCACAGAGGTGTCTTTTTTTTTAAGTCCGTAAACAAAGTTAAATAAAACAGTGCGAGTACCGTATAGGGTCTGGGTAGGCCTTTTGAAGGAAGAACCATAGTTTTGAGTCGGCCTGTCAATTCAGACGGCATACAGGCTCCAGTCATCGTGTAGCCTAAGCGATATTGGTCAAGATCAACGACCCGAAACGTGACACAGGACATTTGGGTAGGCCGTGGAAACACTCAAAACCACCAGAAAGATACTGAAATATGAATTAACATTACAAGCCTACACTATACTCACATGTATGTAAATGTAAGTATAGTGTAGGTGAACGAAATTTGAATTCCGTAGGTGAGAAATAATACCAATGTTAATAATAAAAAGATGTGTATTTTCAGAACAGTTCGGGTTCTTGCATTGACAAAAATTCTTAAAATTATTTATGGTGCCGTAGTGAACGAAACCATATCGCGATTCAGCATTACTTAACAACGCCATCTATCGGTTTCGCCGTTAAACAAAAACAAACAACAACTTATCTTTATTTATTTATTTATTGGTTTACCAGTAATTATTACGCAAAAACATTCGTAAAAAATAGAACACAATATTGACCTTAATGTAAGTGCATAACTTATGTAGGTAAACACCGCATGCATATAATCTAATATGGCTTTAAAAAAAAGAAAAAAAAAAAACTATCTATTAACAAGGGTTGTGAAAAAAGTAGAAAAATAAAAGGTTGTAGAACCTATAAACTAATATTACAGATAGGTACTATCTCCAAACAGAACAACAATTAGTACATAGCTAATCGACAGTAAGGTCATGGACTCGGTTCTTAAATCGTTGAAATTTTGTGCCTAAAATATCTATCTGCTTACTGATTAGATTGTATTTCTTGCTTAGCCGTGGAACAGGCGAGTTGGAACCTAAAACCGACTTTCGCAAAGGAGGATGTAGGAGCATTATTGGTT